GGCTTGAAAAATGTGCTGCAGACATGCATGCATGCCCCAAATTCTGAGAGGAGGCCAAAGGAAAAGGGATTGCAGCATGGCGATTCCCCCAGGGGATGACTTCTCATTTTTCCTTTCTCTCTGTCTCTTCCTGGGGAGCACATGCATCCCATAGCAAAAGCTTAAAAAAGAAGAAAGATAACTATAGGAATCTAGGTAGTAATTGGCAAGAACTGTGAAAAGTCTGAGATTTTACCCTACTTTTTTTTTTTTTTGGTCAGAAGGTATATGTGCTCACCATAGAGAGACAGGGAGAGAGAGAAAGTGAGAAAGCACTCCCCATTAGGAATGATCATGCCGGGACCAGCAGTTAGCGTAATGGCTATGTCACTGGACTCCTATGTAGTCGACCATGGTTCGAGTCCCAGACCCGGTGGCTTAAAACTCACACTGGGCGCGTGTGCGTGCGTGCCCAAGATCCCGAGAGGAGAATGGAGGAGAAGGGGTTGCAGCATAGCCACCACCCGTGGGGGGTGATTTCTCACTTTCTGTCTCTCTGTGGCTTTCTGGCGAGCCCACACACTCTATAGCAAAAACCTAAAAAAAAAAAAAAAAGAAAAAAGAAAAAAGGAATGATCATGCCACAATACCTTCTCCTCCACTTCCCCGTCCTTTTGGAAGAGGGAGAGCAACCACATGTGCCCTATAGCAAAAACTGAAAAAACAAAACTATCTTCTGCTGTATGAAATATAATTTTCAAAAAGCAGAGGGGCCAGCAGGTGGCATTGTGGCTAAGGTGCTGGACTCCCACATGACTGACTGCAGTTTGAGTCCTGGACCCAGGGACTTGAAAAATATTACCAGGTACATGTGCATGTGCATGCATGCCCTAAGTCCCAAGAGGAGAATGGAGAAGGGGGAATTGCAGCCTGGCCATGGGTTATTGCATACTTTCCCTCTTTCTGTCTCTCTTACTCCAACAAGTACACATGCCCTATGGCAAAATCCTAAAAAGAAAAAAAAATAAATAAAAGACTCAAAAAGCAGAAAGCATCTAATGTGCACAGAACTAAACTAGGTAACTATGTTAGGCAAATTAAACTCTTGATTTTCCATTTTTTTTGTTGTTTTTAGAAGTCTTTACCTTAGGATACATGCACTTGCCAGAGAGAGAGAGACAGAGACAGTGAGAGGGAAAGTGAGAAATCACCCCCCCCAGGGGGGGATGGCCACACCATGATCCTTTCTCCATTATTCTCCTGGGATCTTAGGCACACATGCGCATGGGCCAGGTGTGATTTTTTTTTGGCCACCGGGTCCTGGACTTGAACTACAGTTGGCCGTATGGGAGTCCAGTGATATTACAGCTATCCCATTTGCTGGCCCCTTTTGAATTAAAAAATAATTTCTTGGGCCAGCAGGTGGCATGGTGGTTAAGGCTCTGGACACTTCCCTGTGGCCGACTTGGTTCAAGTCCTGGACATGGTGGCTTGCTTTTGCCCTCTCTCTCTGTCTCTTTCTGGTCAAATTAAAATAAATTAATGAATAAATAAAATTAAATAAATAATTCTTTAAAAAATAATTTCTTCTATGAAAGAGATAAATATATAGAGAAAGACCCCCCCATGTCACCAAAGAGGCCTCAGACAAGCGTCCTGGACCATCCCATGTGGGTCCAGCATTGCGGAGCTTTGTATTTCTGCAGCATCATCCTCTGCTCCTGGATGGATTTTATGACCAAAGAAATCATACTGTATGAGGTGATTGGAAAGAATGTCAAACTATATACTGTATCACTATTGATGATTTATTTGAAAAGTTATTTGTTTTTGTCTTACAGATTACTGTGAAGAGCAAATATACCATGCTGAGCTTTCCAATGGATAACAACTGTTTCAAGTTTTGTCATAACTTATCAGAGTCATGGATATAGTGGTTTTTCCCAAAACGATGGATGGGACATTTTAGTACGAAGTTCCGTGGTGCTCATGCGTGCGTATAGCAAAAAAGTGGCATAAAGAGAACTACATAATAAAAATCATATAATTGTTATCAAATAATACCATCAGTTACTTAACTATTATTTGTGTTAAGAAACCTACTGCGGGCCTGAACTGGCAGGCTGTGCACTTAAAGTTTGACTTCTCCCCTCCTGGAGCTCATGACTAGCTGAGGAAACAGTATAATGGACCATCAGACTGATGTCTGCCTCACCTTCTACGTCTTTCCATATGTGAAAAAACTTCAGAAAGCACAAGGGAAAAATGTAATTAGGGCCAGCTTTTGGGGTCTGGTGCTTAAGGGAGCCATATTCTCCATAGCTAACTGTGTAGTTCAAATCCCTGCTCTGGTGGCTTGAAAAACATGCTGCATGCGTGTGTGTCCCCAATCCTAACAGATGGCAAATGGAATTGTAGTGTGATCACACTCCATTTGGAATGCTTTCTCCCACTCTGTCTACCCTGCTGGCTGTCTCCCTGGTGGAGCCTTGCACCCACAGGCACATTTTGAAAAAATAGAATTAAACTGTAAGTTTATTTCAGTGCCAAAAATTAAAAAAAAAAATCTTTGCATAGTTTTTTCATGTTTCCTCCATGAATTTTTTGAAGCCCCTTTGCGTATGTACTTGGAACCTTAAATCAAATGATACAGATCTATGTATGTCATATTTTCTGCCAGATTTGTTTTTGATTCCAAGAGTCTGAAACAAAGTGATAAGGCCGGTGTTTACTGAAGGAACTGAGAAGTGAATGGGACTTCATCACAGAAAGCACTTCTAAGTTAATGATGTGGGATGTCCTACAGAAAGCAAGTAATTTTTTTTTTAGTTAAATGAGTGAACCTTTGGCCAAACCTTTTGTAGTTCAACTAGTAAAAAAAATGGGTTGTGGCTGGGCGGTTGTGCAGTGATTATACAACTGGACCCAAATGGGAAAGGTCCTGGGTTCCCATCCTGGGACTTCCCTGAGTACATGGGACATGCCAGTGATCCAGAATGCCTGAGACTGGGAGTGGCAGACACTGGGGTGGCAGACACCAAGGGCGGCTTGTGGTGTGAGGACCTTGTAGGTGGTACCCTCTCTCTCTCTTACTCATAGAAGAAATAAATGAATAAACTGTAAAAAAAAAAAAAAAAACATGCATAGGGATGATGGCAAGGTGAGAGAGGTGGTAGAAAGAGAAAAGGGGACTCAAAAGAAAGACAGATATTTGTTATTTTGTTTGGTTTTTCTGTTTGGTTTTGGTTTTGGTTATTGTTAGAGAAACAGGTAGTTGTTTCCTTTATTACATTAAAAGTTTTGGGTGGGGACCAGCAGGTGGCATGGTGGTTAAGGTGCTGCACACTCCCACATGGCTGACCGTGGTTCAAGTCCTGGGCCTGGTAGCTTGCTTTCTCCCTTTCCCCCTCTCTCTGTCTCTCTTTCTCTCTGGTCAAATTAAAATGAATGAATGAATAAATAAAATTAAATAAATCTTTAAAAAAAAAGTTTTGGGCCAGTTGGTAGCATGCGATTAAGGTGGCTGGATGCCACTGACCAACTGCACTATTCAGTCTCAGACCCAGCAGCTTGAAAAACCATGCCAAGAACTTGTGTGTATCCAAAATCCTGAGAGGAGAGTGGAGAAGGGATTGTGGTTGCCCCTACCCCAGGAGTGGGGGTACTTTCTCACTTTCTCTCTCTTTTTCTCTGGGGAAATAGATGAACCCCTCCCCCCCAGCATTTTTTTTTTTTAAGTTTTAGTTTAGGGATGGCTCCATGGCTCAACAGTAACAAGCTGCTCATGTAACAGCAGTTCCCACACAGCTACTGCTCTTCCAATCCCCCTGGCCCAGTCAGCCTGAAACACTCTAGGCTCCTGTAGGAGGAGATTTTGGTGTGACAAGACCCTGTGGAGGATGCTCATCTCTCTGTCTCTCTCATTCCACACACATGTGCTCTAAAATGAATAAAGAAAAATTTTGAAAAAAAGAAAAGAAACTTATTAAAAATATATCCACTATGGGACCAGCAGTTAGCGTAATGGCTATGTCGCTGGACTCACACGTAGTCGACCATGGTTGGAGTCCCAGACCCAGTGGCTTAAACTCATGCCGGGCACGTGTGCGTGCATGCCCAAGATCCCAAGAGGAGAAAGGAGGAGAGGGGATTGAGGCGTGGTGATTTCTGGCTTCCTGTCTCTATGTCTCTCTCTCTCTCTGGCGAGCGCACACCCCCTATAGCAAAAAAAACTCTCCAAAAAAAATACCCACTAAATGTGTTTCTACTTCTGCCTATATGGCCACATTTCCAAAGTTCTTTCTTAAGACAATTCTTTTAAATTGTACGCCTTAATTTCTCGGTACTCTCTGCTTTGGAGACTTTCAAAATGTATTTTTAAATAGTTTTTTGGAAGTTGAAAATCTTACACCTCCACTTTACTGAGTAGGAAACTGATTAGACAGGTTTCAAGAGCTCAGGCGACCTGTGGAGTGGATGTCCTCACTGTTGAACGTTCAGTGCTTGGTTGGTCTTTAAATTCGGCTGCACAGCACATCAAGCTGTGGAACTCGAAAACCACCTGTACTGCAGCTGCAGTAGCAGCTCAGACCGATGAAATCAGAAACTCCGGTGCCCAGGGAGATCCCTGTACTTTTTAAAGCTGCCCGGGGGTTCCCACGTGCAGCCAAGGGTGGGAACCACCCTTCTAAATGAGATTGTTTTCTTTTCAATGTACAACAGCGTTTAGGAATATTCCTATAATTTTCACTTTATAGATATTAAAAAGATATATATACTATATACACTAACTGAAAAACGATGGCAACAAAAACGTTTACACACTCAGGCTGAACCTCCTCAACCTCAAGCACCTGGCCTAGTGACGGGAGCGCACTTTCCCAGGCTCTGTCCCGCCTCCTCGGCAGCGCGCGTGCGCAATGGGCTCTGCCCGGGTAACCACGCCTCCGGGTTCCCTTCCCAAAGCCTTCTGCGACCGCCCCGTAGGCCACGCCCACCGCTCCGCCCCGGAAGGTCAGTCCCGCCCCCGGGCCGGCTCCCTGCTCCCGGCCTGGTGCCCCGCCGCCCGCTGCCCCGGTTGTACAAGATGGTGGGCGCTGCGCTGGCGCCGCTTGCCCGGCTGCTCCTGCTCTTGGTGTTGCCGGTCGCCGGGTGGCTGGCGACGAGCACCTCCGAGCCGCCGCTGTCGCGAGCCCCACAGGTAGGGCCGTGGGGACGCGG